AAAAAAAAAAAAAAAAAAAAAAAAAAAAAAAAAAAAAAAAAAAAAAAAAAAAAACAAATTTTCTCAGTATTTTATTATGAGTAGTGATGAATGTAAAATTTTTTCGGAAAATATTCCACCTGATTCGGGGGAAAAAAAATTATTTCTCAAAACTCGCACAAAATAATTGCGCTCAAGTCCGTTGGTACAACACAAAAGGGAAAGGTTCACGTTTGCAGCCACTACGCGTCGCCGTCACGTGCCAAATAGCGGGTGAGAAGCGCTACATTTTCATACACTGGTAAAATATACTCGAGAACTGATTCGCACGATTGAGCGTTACACATACTTTACTGCGCGGAAAAATAGAAAAAAAAAAAAATCACCTCGGCAAAAATAATGCAAACCCAACATGATGCACTACCTTTAGGACAACGATGTCCGCGAACGGCAAGACAAGGGGAAAATCAAAATCTTCTTTTAGTGCGTAGATTTTGTCGGCCAGTCTCGCTTCGCTACGGCTAAATTCACTGAGATCACGCACACCGGCAACGACGGCGATGAGATTGGAAAACACGTGTCCGTTATTTTTTAATACACAATGGGCTGCCGTGATCACGTGCATATTGTCGATAATGACACCTCCAAACAATTTTGTCGCTTCGGGCAAAATGGTCACGTGGTAGGTGAACTCGTTGAGGTTTATCTCGCTGCCACCGCGTATATACTTTCAGTCGGAAGAGCAAGACCTGCCGAATAATGCGTCCGTATATTATGTATTTTACTGCCTCTTACGTGGGAAAAAGATAGCTCGCTTCACACAAGGCGTTACTGCAATCACTGAAATTTCAGCTAAAAGCACCTACTGAAGGGACCGTCGCGGTTAAGACTATATTATACGGCTGCTTCATCAAGAACATTGTTGTCTGTAACGCCAAGTTTTTCAAGATCATCATCTTTTTCTGAACGAAAAAACGACGTACAACGGTGCAATTTGCACAAAAAAAAATACGTATAAAATAATTATTAAAACTACGTACCTTCGTAAATTAACAACAAAAGAGGTAATAAATAATATGGTCTCATGCTGTTGTACATTAAAAATCGCCGAGAGATTTTTATCAAATTGGCTCAACGAATTAATGATTAATTTCACTCACTCGATGGTTCAAGGGGTATTAATGTGATGGGCTTTTTGTATTCGTTAGGCACTTATGCTATCTTTTTTATCGCTATTGTTATCTAGTAAATTTAAACAGATACTTCACGCATTTTTTTATTAGCTAAATTATTCTCAAAAGTATATTTGTATCTCAAATAAGTTTTATTAGGTTTATTACGAGCATTTTGAATATGCAGTTTAACGAAATAATATCGCAAGAAGTTTTTGCTGCCGGAGAATCCGAAAAATTTTTTTCATCCCTTCACGTGGGACATTAATGTAACTCAGCTTAACATTTTTTCAATTATTACAATCTTACGACTGCAAAGAGTTTTCAGTAATGAACAAAATTTTGTTCTTTCAACCTCAGGGTTACAAATACATCTAAAAAAGATTATACGTGTATTATAAATTATATGTTATTTTTTACCATATTTTAATATGGGACTCTTNCGTATACATATATATATATATACATGTACACAGTGCGAAATTCAGCAAGAGGAGTGAAGAGGAGTGATGTAAAAATGAGGTAAAAAAAAGTTTCGATTACTTCACATAGTGTTTAGTCGTACTGGTATTAATTTTCTTGTAGTGTGTACATATTTATCTGTGACATCTATGTAACATCAAATACTTGTTATTACAAAATCGTACGTTTGATAGATAGACGTATCTATAAAAAGTTATTCGGCATACATTTATGATTTTCGATGGCTTAAAAATACTTGCATGCAAAAATTATTCAAAGTTTGGAGTTTGATGTCAATATGATTGATCGAATTATCGATTGTCAAGTCAGAAATCATAACAAATCATCGTCGCAGGATCGCAACCGTAATTTATTGCATTAAATATAGAAGAAAGAAATTCTGACACTTTGATGTAATAACTTGGAGCGTAAGTCTCGTCGCAGTCGGTTGGACCAAAGGATTGTATCCCGATCAAAATGCCATTGTGGACGAGTGGACCTCCACTGTCACCCTTTAACATTACATACATCTTTTGAAATACGTTTCGTGGATTGAAAATATTTTCAATTTTTTCTAATACTTTGCCTCCTTAATCTAATAAAGTATCAAGTATTCAAAACTTACCCGACATACACCTTCGGGCCCATGAATACTCGGACGAAATTTCGTTTTCGCACACAATATCGTATCCTCCAACAGCACAAAATGACTCTTACATTCGGATTGGCTCAATACATCCGTCACGAGATAACGAATTCGACCAGTGGTTTTACTTAGACCTGAGGTGCCGAGTATCGAGAACAACTCATGCATGCCCAGACCAGTGACGTTGGCTTCGGCGTTCTCATATGGCACATTATCTAGGGGTAAACCAACGGAACTCAGGCGATCATCGAAAAATACATTAAATTCCCCATGAACCTTGAAAAATAATGACATTTTACAATACTTTGATGGTAAAAATTCGTTGTATAAAGTATTTTACCTTTAAAATGGCAGTTGAAGTTAGCAACCATAGTATTTGAGAAGTGGCCAACTTTTTTAGTACGTACATTTTCTCCACTCTGCGGGATACCAAACGAGTGTAATCAGTGATATCCGTAACACCGGCAACCACGGTAATATTAGAAGAAATAACACTTCCAAAAACGTCCGTTAAGCAGCTAGATGCACTAATAATGTGATTACCGTTGATGATGACACCGCTGCAAAAGTTCAACTTTCCAACCAGAACAGTCACATGATAGGTGAATTCATTTTTTCCAATATCGTTACCACCGCGTATTTGTTCGGTTGGAAGAGCGATGGCTGTAAAGAGAGAGGAAAAAAAAAAAGGTGATACGTATACGAACTTGTCGGCTTGGCATGGAAGATAGTCTTTGAAAAATAAGTTTTTCCTTTCAAAAACCGTAATAATTACTTTGTTGGGATTATCGCACCAAAAGAAAGTCTAGATTGGTTGGAAAGTTATGAATCAGGTTGTTTTTTTTTTTTTTTTTTTTTTTTTATTTTCTT